CTCTCTCTCTCTCTCTCTCTCTCTCGCTCTCTCTCGCTCTCTCTCTTTCTCTCTCTCTCTCTCTCTCCATCTCTCTCATGAATACATACTGTATAGCCACTAACTCTATGGAGCGTACCCTCGCTCTTGCTCTCGCTTTCTGTCATATCCTGTTGCACAACCTCGCGATACTGGCCTTGCCCTATGAGCTCCCCTTCACTGTCCGGCCGCCCGTACGTATGTGCGTACGTGCGCATGTGTGCGTGAGTGCGTGTGTGTGCGTGTGTGCGTGTGTGTGTATGTGTGTGTGTGTGTGTGTGTGTGTGTGTGTGTGTGTGTGTGTGTGTGTGTGTGTACGCCTACCTTACGAAGTCGGGAGCTCGCGAGATCACGTGCTCGAATTCAATAAACGACAGCATGCCATCTTCATCTAGATCTGCTTCCTCGAGAACCTGCCATGATTCATGTTCACTAATTAACCCTCAATACCATCGTTACCTGTTCTAAGCAATCCGATCAACCGACGAATAAAATTTGATATGTTTAATAAAATATACGTTTATTTATAATATACGTATTACGTACTTTATACATTATACATATATATTTTTAAAACGTTTTATTTTCACGTAATAATTCCTTATTTGATGCGTAATTAGTAGATTTACATTCCGTAGTGCCCCTCCCTCCACTCCTAGCGCCACCATTCAAATATGTATTTATAGCATAATTTCAGTAAGGGCAAATCACAGCTTAAAATAACACAGTGACCATGCAGTATTTCTGTTGGGTTCGGTCAAAATGTGAACCCAATAAATGTCAATAAGCCTATAAAAGACTAGTTGTCACGTATGTCACCATATAATTAAGTGTTTCCCGGATGCTATATCCATCAATTTATTCGAATGTAAAAGTATGACATTCCATTTAGGGTGCGAATAGCAAAGCGCGCGACCTCTTTTGGTCTGAATCCAATGTTTTATTGTTACAGTATATTGTTGACAATAGAAGCGTGCCACTGTAGCAAACAATGGATATTTTTGTAATAGTGTCGTATCGTGTAGAGGCATTTATTTATTGAAGGTGCAATTTAGAACACATTTGCCGTCGATCGTTATCGGTGGTAGGTTTGAGGGTTTAGTTGACAGATCAGCGTGTGTAGTCTATTGTCTGCTGCTGTCCGTGTTACAGAGCTGTCTGTGGCACAGAGATGTCCAACACATACACGCACACGCACACGCACGCACGCACACACATACACACAGAGAAGGAGAGAGAGAGAAAGAGAGAGAGAGAGAGAGGGAGAGAGAGAGAGGAGAGACAGCCAGGGAAGAGAGCGAAGAGGAGAGAGAAGAGAGAGTAGATCGCGTAGAATCGATGGTGCCGCCTGCCGCACGCACGCACACGCACCACGCACCGCACGCACGGCACGGAGCGCCGTTGTAGGCGCACCGCTACGCGCGCGGCGAAAAAGACTTCACGGGCTCGCGCAGTTTTTTTGTCTTCGCGATTCGGCGACTTAGGGCCGCCGGATTGTTTGCGGATATTTGCGCTCGTACTGGCGCGCGCGACAGAGAAAGTGTTAGCAGGGCACACAGGTCGGCGCGGCTGCATCGCGGGATGGGACGGGGTGGCATCACCACCGTGACGCTGCTGCATTGGTGCCAGCTGTTTTCCCTTGAGCGCCATAGCGAGCAATGCTGCGTTCACTTTCCTAAACACAAAGGCACTAGCGCGTAGACAGACGCACGAGCGCGGCACGCAGGGATATTCGGACGCACAGCGAAGTTAGGAGTGAATAAAAATGGTTTTGGTTATCACCCTTATACAATTGTACGCACGTATCACCGCACGTAGACACCCGCACGCGCGCAGGGCACCAATCTAATCATACAAAATGAGGCGCTAAGAAATATCTGAATGCAGCTTGAAGCGGCAATAACCTGCCTACCACCCCTCCCTTCACCGCAACCAACCAACTCACTTCGCTAGCGAACAAATTACAGCCGTGCAGTATTACGGCCAGCATTGATTGCAGATGCAATGCGCTATGTCCTGGCTCTAACAGGTCGAATATCACACAATACTCACAGGTAGCAATTACTCACAGGTACAATACTCACAGGAGCAATATCACACAAATACTCACAGGTAGCAATACTCCACAATAGTAAAGTAGCAATACTCACACAATACTCCAGGTAGTAATACTCACCAATACTGAAGGTAGCATGACTCACCATAAGAAGGTGCAAATACTCAGAGTGTTCAATATGGTGCCAGTATGCAATACGTAAACACGCAGATACTGCAGGTAGCAATACTCACACAATACTAACAGGTAGCAATAGCACACAGTCACAGGTCCATACTTGCGGGATACTGGAAGGTGAGGAATGAGATACTCAGCGGGACACAGGGCGTGGTACAGGTTCTAAACTCCGATGGCGAGACGCGGGGGTCTGGGGCTTCCGCAGGAATTTGAAGACCCTTAGCAATGCGGTGTTCTTGCTGCGAGCAGGGGTGTCGGACGCGCCTGACCCCCGCTGTACACGCCCTGAGCAGCACTACTCCATCTGGAATTCAATGGAATTGTCACGTTGTGTTGTGAAGCTTGCCAACCCATGCAGCTTACGCAAACTCAGTAATTGCACGACTGCAGACCGTACGCTGATGGCATAATGAGCCGTAGCGAAGTACTGTACTTAATACTATTGAGTAATTACTAGTATAAGTTAAGTAGAGTAAAGATAATAATCTTGCTAATATATAGTATATATATTATTATATGTGTGTGTTGTGTTGTGTGTTGTGTGTGTGTGTGTGTGTGTGGTGTGTGTGTGTGTGGTGTGTGTGTGTGTGTGATGTGTGTGTGTGTGTGTGCGTCCGTGCGTGTGAGTGTGTGTGTGTGTGTGATGTGTGTGTGTGTGTGTGTGTGTGTGTGTGTGTGTGGCGACTGTCGTAGTGTGTCGGTGTAGTGTGTCGGTGTGTGTGTGTGTGGTGTGTTGTGCGCGGCGGGCGCACGCGTGTGTGTCAGCGCGCGCGCGGCTGTGTGCGTGTGGCGCGCGTGTGTCTCTGCTACTACATTTCTACTATACGTATAGACGTCTGCTGTGTTTGGTGCGCAGTGCGTATAAACCGCTTCCGGGAGTTGCGTCCGGACATCGTGCCGAAGACATGACGGAAGAAGCGACGACATCGAGAGGCGAGTGGATCAGATAAGCCTGTCTCAAATGACGATGATGAAGATAGGGCCGAGCTGAAGGTACGCTGTATCCGGGGAGGAACGAGGAGAGGGAAGGAGGGGAGAAAGAAAGGATGGGGAGAGGGTATAAGTAGGTAGGGCGCTGTAGTCCGGGGAGGAACGAGGAGAGGAAAAGGAGACCAGCATATTGAGTGTGGAGAAAGAAGGGTGAAGGGAAAGGGGGGTGAAGGTAGTGAAAGTTGATGGGTAAGGCTGATCTGAGGTGGGAAAAAAACAAGAAAAATATTAGAGGAAGGAAGGGCGGGCCGACGCAGGACGAAGGCGCGAAGAGAGAGAGAGAAGAGAGAGAGAAGGAGCGAAGAGATGGAGAAAGTATGGAAGATTATATAGCGGCTGCAGTCTGGAGCGAAGAGATGGCGTTGGGGAAGAAGATAGGACACGTTGAGTGCGGGACAAAGAGGAGGTGGAGAAGGGGAGAATAGTGGGAAACAGGAGAGACACGCGAAGATAAACATAATCAAGAGACGAATAAAAAGAACGTTAGAATAAAATTGTGGGGATAGAGGGGAACAAATAAAGCGGGGAAGAAAGTTTGTAAGGAGGTATTCGAGGAGAGGGAAGAGTTGAATCATCTTAACAACGTCGCACAGCTTTATATGCGATAAAAAAGAGTAATGAGATTTATCAGATCCACCACAATTTAAATACGACACTACAATACTAATACTGACAAAATCTATTGCCCCTGCCCCACAATACACATAGTGTAGAAGCGCTAGAGTCGACTATAACAAAACAGGTTTAAACGACTATAGATATACGCACTGATCGTCTTATTGCTGCACCCCAAACCCCCCACACAAAACACGTAGTGCTAGAAAAGATAGAAGTCGAACTATCGCAACAAGTTAAACAGCAGTACTACATATCCAGCTGAAATGCAGTCTGAATGCAGGCACACCACAAGAAGAAGAGAAACCCCCACACAACGACACACTAATAAGTGTTAGCCGCAGACACATCCAAAACAAGTTAACACGAAACGACTACTACATATACCACTGAGTGCTATTGCAACCCCCCACACACAGCACGTATAGTGTTTAGCTACGCTAGAGTCCACTATTCAAACAAGTTAAACCGCACGTACTACATATACCACTGACTCTATTGGGCACCCCCCCACACACACACACGTATAGTTAGAAGGCTAGAGTGCGACTATTCAAAAGCAAGTTAAACAAGCACTACTACAATATAGACACTGACGTCTATTGCACCCACCCCCCAGCACCACAGGCCAAGACCACGTATAGTGTTTAGAACGCTAGAGTCGCACTATCCAAAACAGTTAAACAGCACTCTACATATAAGCACTGCCCGTCTATTGACTCCCCCCCCCCCCATCAACCACACGTATAGTGTTTAGCGACGCTAGGTCCATAATTCAGAAACAAGTTCAACAACGCACTATCTACATATACCCTGACGTCTATTGCACCCACAACACAGCACACGTTAGTTGTAGAACGCTAAGGTCCACTATCCAAAACAGTTAAACACCGCACTACTACATATACGACTGACGGTCTATTGCACCCCCCCCACCACAATCCCGGCACACGTATAGTGTTAGAACGATGAGTCACTGATTCAAAAAAGTTAAACAGACTACTACATATACGACTGACGTTAGTTGCACCCCCCCCACACACAACGTATAGTGTTAGCACGCTAGAGTCAACTATTTCAAAACAAGTTAACACGCACTACTAACATATACGACTGACGTTATTGCACCCCCCCCCAAACACACACCGTAGTGCTAGAAGCTAGATTTCAATAAAAAAGTAACCCGAACAGAAGCCATGAAAAATATCTCCTTGACAATCTGCACTACAGAGTAGTCTCGTCGTCGTCGTCGTCGTCATCGTCTCGTCGTCGTCATCGTTGTCGTCGTCGTCGTTCGTCGTCATCGTCAGTCGTCCATTGTCCATGTCGTCGTCGTCGTCGTCGTCGAACATCGTCGTCGTCGTCGTCGTCGTCATCGATCCATCGTTGTCATCGTCGTGCGTCGTTCAGGAGACCCGGTTCAGCATCGAGGATATGTGAGGTGTTCTCCGACGACGGAATGGGAAACTCAGTTCGACGATGTGCCTCGATCATGATGAACGTATTCAGTGAAGCAGCGCCGAGAGACCTGCGGCGGTGTAAGCGCCTTTAAGCATATATGGTATAATCAGCAGC